ATGACTTAATCAAAATGTGTTCATTGTAAAAAGTGAAGGAGCCACTGGCTGGCTCAGCTCTAGGCTTGTTGTTCTTGCCTCTTTTTGTAATTTTTTTTAAAGTAGGGTTTACAGCTAGAATTTTGAATGCCAAAGTTCTATTTATTAAATAATAATAAAAGTTTTCATTGTTAATGACTGGTATTTTTCCACTGGAATTTGTTTGTTGATGTTTGGGATTTGTATCCACAGAGCAAAAAATAAATTTTGTTACAAAACTGATTTTCTTCCTGTTGTCCCATTTGTCCAATCCCTGGCATGTAACAGGAGGGACCAAGGCTGAAGCAGCGGCTGGAGATGAGAAGTGCAGTGGGAAAGAAGCCATCCCCAGAGGGCAACCCTAATTTTCCCTTAGTGGAGCATATATTCTGTCTCAGCGGACCAAGCTGTCCTCCTGGCATTAACTTTCCTTAAAAAAGAGCATTGGTAGCAAACGTACAATTTGAGGTAACGAAGGGATTTTAGAAAAGAGTTGCTTGAAAAGTCCCTAATGCAGTTTTTAGGAGGAATGCTATTGCCCACCTCTGATGTGGACTAACAAGAGATGCGTAGGCTGCAAAACATGACGAGTAAGTTAGTGGTGTGCGGTCTTTCCTCACATCCTGCAGCGTAACACAGGTTGAGAGCTCTTGAGTCAGTCAAGCAGGGAGCTCACTAACCCTGTGTTAGGTAGTGGTGAAGCAGGTAAAGAGGAAACAAATGCAAAGCTGCACTAAGCTTGGTGATGTTAAGGGGAGACCTGGTGGTGGTTTCCGCAAGGTCGGGTTTCCTCATGTTTGCAGAGAGTCCAGCTAACAAATGAGGAGAGCAGAGCTGCAGGGAGCGGGTCTGGTTCGGGAGAGGGAGGCCGGGTGCTTCACCATGGACACCTGCCTGGGGCAGGTGCCCTGCAGGTCCCTCGCTGCGAGGCCCTGGCCTGCTGGGCAGATGCTTTACAAGGTCTAGTTGCTCCTGTGCCAATGACATCTAGTCTGAAGATGCATCGGGCAAACTCTTCTCTCCAAACGGGATAGCGCTGTTCACCAGCATGGCCGTTTGGGCAGGGCAGGTAAGGGGGAGCTCCAGCCCTGAGACACAGAAGGTGCCTCGGTGCTAAGCCTGGGCTTGCCCCTGAGCTCAGTGCTGGGCTCCTGCTTGCTGGCTGAGGAAAGGGAAAAATAAGGATCCCAAAGCTCCTTTGGGGATCATAGCGGGGAAGACGATGAATGGTTTCCCTTTTTTATATCCTCAGCTGGAGGAAATTAGAGCAGAGCGGGGATTAGAGCAGAAAGGAGGCGACAGAAGTGGCTTAGCTCTTGTTCTAGCTTCTGTAGGTCTGCATTTCTTGCTGGACCTAGGTAGGATTCTAACAGATTAACCTGGCACAAAATACCAAGGAAAACTTCTGCTCACTAGTTTCAGAGATGCCAGTTCATCAGGTTTGAACCTGTGGTTGCCCCCAAAACAGTT